GGAAGGTGGTGCCCCGGAAGGAGGAGAGGGAAGACATAATCAAGAGGGTTCACTGACAGCTGGGGCACTTTGGCAGCCTGAGGACTACGCAGCTACTAGAGACGACCTGGTGGTGGGCGGGAATGAGAAAGGACGTCAGGGAATGGGTGGAGAGCTGTGAGCTGTGTGACAGGAACAAGGCAACTCTGGAGAGAGGAAGTCAGGAGCTACAGTCCCTGCCCATAAGAGGCCTAGGGTTCATATGGTCTCTAGATCTTGCAGGGGAGCTTCCCTTAAGCAGAAGAGGGAAGCGGTACATCCTAGTGATGATCGAGCACTGCAGCAAGTGGGTGGAGGTTAAGGCACTACCAATCAAGAACGCGATCAGAATAGCAGAGGCGTTTGAGGAGCATATCAAGTGCTCATCAGGTTCGGTGCATGCGGGGAGGTACTCACATATCAAGGCTCGGAATTCCAGGGAGAATTTGCACAGCTCCTCAAGAAAGCAGGGATAGTGCACCGGAGGACCTCCTGGTACCACCCACAAGCAGTTGGCCTCACGGAGCGGTTTGTGCAGACAGTCAAGAGGGTCCAGCGGGCGTACGGAGAGAAGTACGAACGGGATTGGGACGCCAGGCTACCGTGGGTGGCGGCAGGGTACACGTTCAGCAAGCAAGCTGTGCTGAAAGACATGTCGCCGTATTACCTGCTGCTGGGAAGAGAGCCCATCATGCCGGTAGATGCGCCTAAGCTGCTTACGGAGACGGTGACGGCGGGGGCCGAGGACAAATGGGAAGCAGTGGCGGGAGCCAGAGCAAAATACCTCAGAGACCTGCTGCCGGCAGTACTAGAGAACCTTCACGTGGCGCAACTGAGAGACGCCCAGAGGTACAAGCAGAGGGGAGAGAACGCAGGCGGGAGACGACAGCCAGGGGTAGAGCCAGGAGCAGAGGTGTACCTCAAGCAAGCCCGGAAAGACATGCTGGACGTGGGGCTGACAACGGAGAGATGGAGAGTTAAAAAGGTGAAGGAGTCGGGGGTGATCGTGCTGGAGAATGACAAAGGGAAGGAGAGGAAGGACCATGTGACCAACACCCGAGATGGAAGGGGCCCTCGTAGGGCCCACCACATCCATGTACATAAGAGCAAGTGGGGCCTTGGTCCTGTGCTGCTGCTGAAAGGGAACTTGGTGAATTTCGTCTCAAGGCATGTAGGGTAGCTCCCAATCTCCTTCGCTGCCCCCTTCACCTCCAACCCCTTCAAGCTCCCATTCTTCACCATTTTCTGCAGCATAGGTATGTTGACATGACAAAGTCTCTCATACTATGTGTCCCAATCGGCCTCACCACTCCTAGATGAAGCCTTTGCCCATGCAGCTGACCCATCCACACCAGCAAGCACCTCACCATGTGGGTTGCTGTGGCTGCTGCACCTTCTTGACTTCATCCAGGGCCCCACCAGAGCAGTCTCCTCTCCTCCCGCAATTGCTTTAGCTGCTGCTGCTGCCGATGCCGTTGCTGAAGGTTTCCCATCCCAAGGGATGACGGGCAGCTGCCACAGGTTCTTGATGCAGCTGCTCTTCTCCTCCAAACTCCACAAGAGCATCTTCCCAAGCTTTGCACGGCAGGTGGTTGGGCCGAAGGTAACTTCGGCCTTGCTCTTCTGCAGCCTTCGCACAAAAAGGAGGTTAGCATATAAACTCTCAACCAGCAGCACATTCCCAAGGCCCAGAAGATCCTCATTGGCTCTCATCACCTTGGCATTCCCAACACCAATCACAGGGAGCAAAGCACCTGAAGCGGCAGCCACAAACTTGATCTTCCCAGGGGGCTTCACCTCATCAAGCAAATCTGCCCGTGGGGTCATATGACTTGTGCAACCTGAATCGATCACCCAGTGAGTGAGGGGGTGCATCACCACCTTCCCAACCGAACCCACGTCACTCCTACTCCCTTGCACATCCTCAACCATGACGAACATCCCAGGGGAGGCTTTACCTTGTGCACCTTCAGCATGTGCACCTGAGCCTTACACAGCACCACCTTGTGCGCGTTCACCACTTGGCGGCTTCATGCCTGGAGGTGCCCATCCCTCAGGCCAGCTGAAAGATTTGAACCATGGATGTCTAGCCGTCTTGCAATACCAGCAGGCACCCTCCATACGGGTGTTCCCCTTCCCACCAGAGCTCCCATGCCCCTCATTGTAGTCACCTCGGCCTCGGCCTCTCCCACCCCCTCTTATTCTACTGCCTCCTGCAGCTCCATACCCCTCAGCCGTCTTGTTGGCAGCACCAAGACCATCACAACAAAGCAACACATCACCTGCAGTCTCTTGTGCGGCCTACAACCGATTCCACCAAGTGCAGCATCTGCAAATGATCAGCAAGTCAAAGGCTCTGCAATTGCACTCACACGTGTGGCGTCGTCACAGAGTGCAGCCCAACCGGACATCACATAACTCCACACATCTCACTCATGTGTTTGTTGCTGTGTGCGTGCTCACGCACGTGCATAACTACAAACACACAAGTGAGAGGGGGAGTGGGGTGTGGAGTATCTTGTCGTGCAACGAATCAAGATGTGCATTTTCATATTCGTTTTCATCATCGACGAAGCCAACATATGTGTATCATGAGTAAAAGACCTACGTTCAGCATTGAACAAGACAAGGGATCTCTGCTGCTGCAATCGGCCATCTCTTGCTGCAATGCTCTGGATGCTGCTGCCCATGAGCTGCCACTGTTTCCGAATGCCTGCTGGTTTCAGGGGGAGTAAAACACGAGGTGATATCAGATTTCAGCTCAGCAGAAGGCAAAGGTTATAAAAAGTGGAAGTAGGAAGCAAGGAGAAGGCAACTACTACTGTTGTACTCACAAGGCAGGTGGAGCGGACAGGGTGGTACTGCCGGACGCCAAGTGCTGCTCCTGGTGGCTTGATGCTTCTCCAGTGCGCCACAGGCTGCTGCAAGCTCGCTGGTGCTGCTGTCAGCCACAGGTGCTGCTGTGCACCACTGAAGCTGCAGCCTGCCGCCACCAGCTCATGACACCGCTCGACAGCTGCTGCTGCCGCTCACATGCTCCCGACGAGTGCCATCAGCAGTAGGCCGCCAGGAGTTGCTGCAGGCCGTCAAGTGCTGGTGCATGCCGCGAACTGTTTCGTTCCGCCGGCTGGAGTTGCTCCCGTGCGCCATCTGGTGTGACGGGGGGAGGGAGAGCATCACATGACATGAACGAATCACTGATTCTGCATCATCCCAGAGGTACATTCAAGACTTGAAGAAGCTAATACATGAAGGGCCTCACTTTCCATGACATCATCAGGCAGGGGGAGCAAGCAGTCGCCGCTGGTTGCCCACGATCCGCTGGTGCTATCGTCCGCCAGGTGGGGCTGCTGCCGAGCGCCATCCGCTGCAGCTGCCGTGCGCATGCCGTCCGCAGCCTCTGGTAGCGGGTGCACGCTGCTGCTGCAGCTTGTCTACATTGACACCATCTGCTGCCGCCACCGTCATCAGCTGCTGCTGCCGCCATGAACATGCAGCCGCATATCCGCAACTGCACGCCATGTGAAGCAGCTGCACGCTCAGTGGAGCAAGCAGCGCGCCGTGCAGGGAGGCCGCACCAGTCGTTGGTGATTCACAACAGCCACAGCAACCGTGCGACAGCCACCGCAGCCGCGCGACAGCCACAGCAGCCGCGCGACAGCCACGGCAGCCATGCGCCAGCCACTGACTGGCTGCTGACGACGCCCTGCTGGAGGTCGCGTCGTGCGCAGGCGCGTCCGCAGCGGAAGCAGCCGCACGCCATGCAGCAGTGGGACGTCATGCTACAGGGCATCGGGACATGCAGCAGCCGTCGCATAACTGCTGCTGCTTAAGAAATATTTCGGGCTGCTGCTAGAGGACGTGGCAGCAGCCGCTACTAATCCTCTGATGTTGAAGCTCGTCATAAACTACGAGCTAAGGCAACATTTCGCAGCGGGAGCGGCAGCTACCGTATGGCTAGAGTGGCCAGAGGTGACATTGCTACGAAACCTAATCTCGATCTGGAGTTACTGCAAAGTCGGGAGAGTTGGAACGGTGCGGTTGGGAGTAACGAGATTGAGCTAGGGAAAGAACACGACCAGAATGACCGACTAACGAGACCCCGTCTGGGCGAGAGAAGCGAGAGGTGTGTGAGGAGGAGCGTGGGAAACAGCAGCGATGTGGAGGAAACGCGACGTGCACCTGGAGAACGTTCGGTGCATAGCTACACAGCATTTCTGCCAACCCTCACAACGCGTTGTCAACGGGAAAGATTCCGACGCGGAAATGTTCCCTCCATAAAATTCTGACGTGCTTTCACCGCAATCACCACAATTATCGCCATCACCAAAACCACTCTCCAATCACCACCTTATCCTCCATACCCCACAAAACTAACTCACTAAAATCTACAGCAAGGGGGAGTGTTGAAAATACAATCATAACTAAAATTTAGATGCTGTTAGATTATAGTGTAATACTCCTTATAATACTCCAGGTCCTACAATAATTGTACAATTTTTGTAGGGCCAGAATGATTGGAGTCTAGCATTATTGGAGGGTAAGAATTATTGGCGGGTATAATTATTGGTGCACCGCACCATTATTGGTGTGGATCGGGTCTTCCTTGGAGGGTTAGCTGCATGCATAAATACCTTGCTCTGTGAAATCATTGTCAATCCATTGTTCTCAATCCATTCTATTGCAAGTTTTCAGTTCTACTCTATTGTACAAATCGGTTCCGCTACGCTGGCACAATGCCTTTCTAGCATTCGCCTTCGGAAGACGCAAATAGCGTTTGAAACGAAACCAGGAACACGCCCTAATAATCGAGGAGCGGATATAAGCGCAGTTCTCCGTTTATAGGCGCATACCGATATGCCTAACATAGGCATGCGCCTCTATCCGTGGTCGTTTGGTGCCGTATTATTGTAGCTGCTCAAACTCTGACTTGAGAGAGCTCGTGAAGAAGGATATCGAATGGAAAGACACGGAGAGCAGGGTCAGTGGAGAAGGGAAGACACATCTACGGATCGGTACCGCGCCAGCCTGCCGGGACTTCCCTTGCTCCACTGCCTCTCATCAGCCGCCTCAACCGCCTTCAGGCCCCGCCCGCTCACCCTGTGTCCTCGCCACCATAGCTCTTCCCCGCCGTGCACCTCGGAGCCCTCCTCCTCCCACCCACTGCACTCGCCCCCACCATCTCCGCCCAGCGGTGAACCCTCTCTGCTCTCCCCCTTGCCTGCCATGCCTTTACACCCACGCACACACGGCACAACCTTGCTGCTGCTGCTGCTGCGCATGTGCCTGTGTCCTCCACCTCCCCCCCCCAGCTCCCCTGCACTGCCCACTGCTCTCGGTGCCTGGCCAGAGCTCCACCTGTCATGCTCCGCTCCCTCTCCTCCCTCTCCTCCCTCACCTCTCTCACCTCCCTCTGCCACCCCCCTCCTGCTGCCCCTCGTGCGGCAGCCACTGCCTCCTCCCGGGCTGCTGCCTCCGCTGCTGCCGTGCTCCTCCTCTGCGTCTCGCTGCACCTCGCGCCGCCCTCCAGCCCGCCCGCAGCGCAGCACTGCATCCAGGTCCACGCTGTTGCGCCGCGCGCGATGGGGGGGCCGAGGGGCGAGCGCTGAGGGGGGTGTGGCGGCAGGGAGAGAGGCAGCCGGGCACGCATGCAAGGGGGCGTTGTGGGTGGGCGAGGGCGAGTGGGCCGAGTGGCAATCATGCACACCGGGCGAGAGCGAGGGTGGAAGAGGGGAGCGGGCACGGGGGGGAGTGGGCATGGAGGCATCGTTGCGGCGCCTGGGTGCTCCCTCCTCCCGCCCGCACGTTGATGGATTGGCGCAGTGCCTAGATGCGTTGAGGCCCGGCACAGGGGACACGGCGCGGCGCACAGGGGATGAAGGGCAGTCAGCGTCATCAGCAGAGCGGATAGGCGACCGCTGCATGGCTCTCCTCCGCGCGCTCGCCCTGCCCCACTCCTCTGCTCTTCCCCCCACGCCACCTCCCCCCACCTCGTCCCCCCCATGTGCTCCGCCCTGGGCAGTGGCGGCGCTGCCATGCGGGGCGTCCAGGTCGCACGAGAGGCGCGAGTGCGATTGCCGTGAGTGGCGCGGGCGGGGGGCGCGCCCGGCACCAGGGGGGGAATCGGGGCTGGAGAGGGGGGATCGGCGAGAGGGGGAGAGGGCGTGGTGGTGGGTGGCCCGAGCGTGCTCCGCTGCCAGCAGGCCGCTCACATCCGACTTGTGGCGCTGCAGACCCCCCACCCCTCCCACCCCTCCCACCCCTCCCACCCCTCCCACGCCGCCTGCCTTCTCCCCCAACCGCCTGCTGCCACTGCCCACTCGCCACAGCATCCCGTTCCTCCCTCCATCCCCCACTCCCACTCCACCCTGCTCCCTACCACGCCCTACCTCCGCCCCACTACCTTCATTTCGTCTCCCTCGTTCCCTCTCCCCCCTCACGTATTTTTTCCAATCCTTCTCCCGTCCCATCTCCTCTCTCTCTTTCTCGCTCTCTCTGCGCCTGTCCCTGCAGCTATCCAACTCTCTGCTTCTCTCACTGTCTCTGTCACGCTCCCTCCATCTCTGCTCCCTTTCATCATCCAACTCGAAACTCCTCCTGTATGCCCTCCCACCATCTTGCAATCGGTACCTCTCTCGATCGCCCTCCCTATCCCTCCCCCTGAACCTGTCCCTTACCCTGTCCCTTTCAATCTCCCCCTCCTCATCACTTTCCTTATCCCTCTCCCCCTCCCTGAACCTGTCTCTATCCCTCTCCCCCTCCCTGAACCTGTCTTTATCCCTCTCCCCCTCGCTCACTCTGTCTCTACCCCTCTCCTCTTCCCTGATCCTCTCTCCCTCCTCGTCCCTACCCCTGTGTCTATCCCCCTCCCACTCCCTACCCCTGTCTCTATCCATCTCCACTCGCTTTTCCCACTCCCATTCCCTGTCCATACTCCGATTTCTTTCTCGATCCCTCTCTCTACCTCTCTCCCTGCTCATGTTCCAACCTTTGCTCCTCTCTCCCACCTCATCCCTCATCTCGACGCCTCCTTCCCTTTCCCCTCCCATGTCGTTGCCCCGCGCTCCTCTCCCCTCCTCTCTCCTCATCGCCTTCCACTCCTCCTCCACCGTGCCGCCTTGCCACTCCCGTGCCCCCCCTGCGCCTCTCAGCAGCCGCCCCACATCCTCCAAACGGTGCCGTGTCAGCCGTGCTGCACCGCCCGCGCTGCCCTCGCTGCTGCCTGCCCTGCCTCGCACCAACTCCCGCCCATCGTCCGCGCACCCCCTCCCCCCCTGCTCCCGCCAGCCCGCGCCCTCCACACTCCTGCTCGCCGCCACTCCTTCCTGCCCACCTCGCCTGCCACCACCGTCCCTCTCCCCTCCCTTCACCGCCCTCTCTCCGCCTGCCCCCGCTGTGCTGGACCCGCGCATGCCGCCCGGACGCACACCTGCCAGGTCAGCAGCTGACAGGGCGCGCGTGGGAGCATCTGCCGGGGGCCCCTTGATGGGCAGAGGGGAGGCTGGGGGGCCGGCAGTGACGGACTTGAACCACCGATGGGCTGCGTGGGAGAAGAGGAGAGAGCAGAGGGAAGGGTGGGAGGGGGGTGTGCTGTGACGGTGGAGGTGGATGTGCGTTGGAGGGGGAGTGAAGGCGGTAGAGAGGCGAGAGGCGGTAGAGAGGCGGTAGAGAGGCGGAAGAGAGGCGAGAGGCGGTAGAGAGGCGGAAGAGAGGGTCCGCCCCTGTTTGAAGCGCCAGACGCCCACTCCAACTCCTCATGGTTTCCCCCCCGCATCACCCTCCCCCACGCAGATCCCTCCATCCCACCTCGCCTCTCTGTCCTACCACCCCTTCCCCCCCCCCCCCCCAACGCACAGAGGGCCTTGTCGGGGGTGATGCGGCGGGCGGGGTGGCGGGTGAGCAGGCGCAGCACGAGGTCCTTGGCGTCGGGGGAGACATGCGCCCACCCCCCGCTGAACACGTCCACACGCGCCGCCCGGATGGCGCTGAAGATGCCCGCCTCGCTGTCCGCCCAGAAGGGCGGCACGCCGGCCAGCAGGATGAAGAGCACAACGCCCACACTCCACATGTCCGCCTCGGCGCCGTAGCAGTGGTCCAGCACCTCAGGCGCCATGTAGTAGCTGCTCCCCGCCATCGCTGTCAGCCGTGCCCCTGCCACCCACACCGCCCCGCCATGCCCATGCCCCCCGTGCCATGCGTGCAGAGGAGAGGAGCGGGTGAGCAGCGCCGCACGGGTGAGGGAGGGAGACAGTGGAGTGCCAGGAGGAGGCAAGATGAGCGCGTGTGTGAGGTAACTGCGGACAAAAAGCTTGGCAACTGGCTTGACGGGGAGGGCACCTGGCTTGACGGGGAGGGCACCTGGCTTGACGGGGAGGGCACCTGGCTTGACGGGGAGGGCACCTGGCTTGACGGGGAGGGCACCTGGCTTGACGGGGAGGGCACCTGGCTTGACGGGGAGGGCACCTGGCTTGACGGGGAGGGCACCTGGCTTGACGGGGAGGGCGAGGCCGAAGTCGACGACTTTGACGTGCGTGTGGGAGGCGGGCGAGACGAGGAGGATGTTTTCAGGCTTGAGGTCGCGGTGCATGAGGCCGTGGCGCTGCAGGTGCCCCACCACCGCCACCAGCGTGCGACACACCGCCGCCGCGTCCTCCTCCGGGTAGCGCTTGCGCCGGCGAATGCGGTCGAATAGCTCCCCGCCCTCACAGCACTCCATTATCAGATGCACTTGCTGGGACCCACACACACACACACACACACACACACACGCGCGCGCGCGCGCGCGCGCGTGCACGCAAGCACGCACGCACGCACGCACGCACACACGCACGGACACACACTCACCGGCTCAGCAGGCACAGTGGAGCAATGGACACAGTGGGATTTGAAGCAATGGCGCATAGTCAGACATACAGCAATGGCGCATAGTCAGACATACAGGGCTTCAGGCAGAATCACGAGCCCCATAAAGCAGCAGCAAATTCCCGTGCCACGTGGCAACAGAGCCGGTCCGACATGCCAAGCCCTGCGCTTGCACCCCCTGCCATGCGCGCCGCACCTGGTGGTCTTCGAAGGTGGCGTGCAGCGCCACGATGGCGGGGTGGCCGCGCAGCTGCTGCATCACGCGCACCTCCCGCCGCACGTCCTCCACCTCGCGCGCGCCCGCCAGCCGCGCTTTGCTGATGCTCTTGCATGCCCACGCCACGCCCGTCGCCTTCTCCACGCACGCGCGGATCACGCCGTACTGCCCGCGCCCCAGCTCGCGCCCCATGCTGTACGCCTCGTGCACGCTCTCGTACGCGCGCCCCAGCACGCGCACCGTGTGCTCCGCCTCCCCCGCCTCCTCCTTCGCCGCCTTCGCCGCTAAGCATGCCGTGCGCACCAAGTCTACCGCGTCGTCAGCTCCTTCAGCAGGTGCGGCGGCTGGCGGCGGCTGCTCCGCGGCCGCAGGGGCGGCGGGCTGCGCGTCGGCGGTGTCGGCCGGGGCATCGCTTTTGGCGGCGGCATTTCTCCGCTTCACGAGCGATAGCAACCCCATCGGCGGCTGCAGGAAGAGCAGCGGCACTGTACGACGATGAGCGACGAGCGGCGTCAATACGACAAGAGCAACTGTGTGTCGCACACGAGTCAACGCGTCGCATTTTCCTCTCCCTGCACTGGCAATGTTGGTAGTTGAAAAGCACCAACCAACCTTTGTACGGACTGAATGTGGCGAAGTTGTTCAACGTTGCTGAGGGCGCGTCAGATCCCCGAACATCCTAAATTTGCAACATCCGTCTGGCCGGTTTATGCGAAAGTAATCAGCCAACGACGTTCGGCTTAGGTGTTAACACTTCTCTACCCCGAACCTCTCTGGTTACCAGGTGTCCAACTGCAAACCGCAGGGTTGGCTCGCTCGGTTCACTGTCTTTCCCCCTGCTCACTCTCTTCCCTACTCCTCACTCTGTTTACTATCTTTCCCCCCTACAGTTACAACTGCGTCACTCAATGCAGGGTACAGGTGCCCAGCAGGGCTAATGCTAGGGTTTTTTATAGCTCGGACGATCCGGGCCCCTGTGAAAAGGACCCTGAAAAAACCGAGCATGCGGAAAAAAAACCTACACGAATACGGGTTTGAGCCAGAAAAGACATGAAAACCCACATTATCAGAATGTCGTGGGATGGGGGGAACGATCAAGAAACTCAGTTCGTTATGCAAGAGGGCTGGGGAGGAGGTTGGAGATGAAGGAGGGGCTTTAGAGGGGAGGTTGGAGATTAGGGAGGGGCTTTAGATTGTTACAATATGAAACTTAATGAGAAGGCATTCCTGTACGCTGCAGGAACCGACTCTACCGAGTACGAAGTCGAGGAGTCAGAAGAGTCGAAGCGACACCAGCAACCGTCAGATCAAGACCGATGCAGGCAGAAACATTTGAAGTGAAAAGAGCGGAAACAGGTTTGAAACGGGTTTGAACTTCGCTGCAATAAAAGAATGTACCCCTTAGAGTACATTGCTAGTCTAGGCCGTTTCGCATTCCTTTTGTGTTTCCTATATAAACCTGATGTATGGATGCTTTTATTATATCGGTCGTTTACATTCACTCTGACCTGAGGTCAACAGTTCTGCTTCAACAAATTACCTGCGATCAACCTTGAGACGATCCTTCGCTAAGTCCTGTTTAGGATTGTAACATGGTATGAGAGCTACTCATGGATTCTTCGCAACTCTACTTCCTTATGCGCCGCTCTTCTGGCAGAACAGCAAGATATGGACTCAAGCAAGTCACTCCGCGCCACGACGAAACCATCTCGCCGTCTACGCCGACAACCAAGAAGAGCGACGACCGCGACTGCAAAATTTGCAAGATATTTGGACACTCAACGGACCGATGCAGGTACCGATTCAACGATCGCCCCCATAATTCCACTCACCAAAACAACTGGGTCGGCCAGCAAGATGCTCGTCATCAACCACAGCAATCTCAACATCAAGCTCCCCGTCCGCATGCTCAACAACAACAACAACAACAACAACAACAACAACAACAACAACAACAACAACAACAACAACAACAACAACAACAACAGGGACAGACATCTCAGACAGGAAGAGCAAGAAACGTAATGGCGAATATGGCAACACGCCGCCGCCCGTGAGTTACTACGCCCGACGGAGACGAAGAGCGCGCAGGAGAAATGATTCAACCTGAAGAAGGCTACAATAATCTCTTCACCGACAAACACTATTACGAAGAAGATGAAGACGACCAAGAATGGCACTTACCAATCCAGCTGCGAGAAAGCCCACCTCACCGTCATGACCAGCGACCGGTTCCCCTGGGATGGCAAGAAGAACAAGACTTTCTCACAGTGGATAAGGCGACCATTGTCACGCCACGAATGGCGCTGCTCCTGCGCAAGAACAACACGGCCCACAACAACTAGTACCTGGACAGCTGTTGCGGACAGCATATGGTGGGATCACTACGCTACATCTCCAACGTCAGCCGCAACCCCATCGCTACTTACGTCACTATTGCCGACAACGGCCAACTACGAGCAAACGCGCAAGGCATCGTCGTGCTGCAGGCACGAGACATCAACACTCACATCACCTTCAGTGATATCATCTACGTACCGGACCTGCACTTTAACCTACTGTCTGCAGGGCAACTCTCTGACTGTGGAGTCACGTTCATCAGCGACCCACTCACACGCGATCTCATCCTCAACTACGCTCCTCCTCACACACCCGTCGAATCCCATAAGTATCTCGGGCGAGCGCGCTCCATCAATGGAGTCTACGTACTCGACTTCGACATCCCCGACTGCAGAGCAACGTCAGACGAACTCGTGGACCTTGTTCCTCAGGACTTCGCCTACAAATCAGAAAACTTGTAGAAACATCCTGATGGAAGACCGTGGATCAGACGCAGCCCTCACCCACGCGAAATAAATTTGCACCAACCTGGACCTCGGCGCCCCGTCACGCCTACGGCAAGCCGCACTGAAGAAGTTGAAAGAGACTTGGCGGCAATCGAAGAAGCGGAGAGCACCGAGGCGCCGACAGAAGGCATGACGGGGCTAGAATTAGCAACTACCTCCCACCGCATCTTCGGAACAGAAGTGGAAGTACTCGGAGTAGCAGCACAGGAACGACCCGCCCCTGCAGCTGAAACTCTCTGCTGGATCCTGGAAGAAGCAACAATTGGGACACTTGATGAGGAGAATCGGCCACTTCCTTATACCCGCGACACCCATCGCCAGCTGAACAAGGAGTGGAAACACCCCGATAAACCGGAAGAACTCAGTGTCAAGGAGGAAGAAGACAAGGCAAAGGCAGAAGAAAAGGAACGCCTTTACCAGGAGCGGATCGCAGCTGGCTGGGACGAAGAATCAGCAAGGACCGGAGACTGGGGAGACGACGATACAGGGGCAACATGGGGATCAGCAACTGGAGCTTCTGGCACCGTAACCGGGTGGGGCACTGGAGGAGGCACCGGCGGAGGAGGCTGGGGCAACGTCGGAGCATGGGGTATAGCTGACGAGGAATTCACCCGAGAAGAAATAGAGGAGGCAGAGAGAGAAATCGCCGCCGAACGGACCCCACCAAGAGTTATAGTTCCCCTCGGGCGACCTCCGCGGAACTTACCATCTCCTCCTGAATCACCACTGAACTGAAGGTCCACCTGATCAGGACTTGACCGCGGAAATGAGACTGTGACACCTCCGCGTGACTCACAAGGACCCCTCTCGCGCCCAGATCCCTTCGCCCGCCTCATTGAAGGCACAACTATTCCGCTCAACATCATCCCCGACCGCAACCTCCTCGCGCTCTACCTGACAACTGCGCCGATAGAAGGAGAAACAGCAGCAGAACCAGAAGCAGAAGAAGCAGAACCAGGAGAAGAAGAAGGGCACGTACTCAGTATTCATTACAAGACAGAGGAAGAAGAAGCCGCACATCACGCACGATACCTGCGCACCCCCGGAGTCCGCGTAGAAGATGATCTCTGGCACCAGCGACTCGGCCACCCTTCACGCCAGACATTCAACAACTGTCTCACCGCCAAGGCATTCCTGCCAGGAGCTGCTGCGCCCTGACGGCACGGAACCACAAAGCACCACACAGCCACAAACCTGCACTGTCTGCCCAACAGCTGCCCTCACATACCAAGCTTACCCCTCACTGGAGCCGAGCACCAATCGCTACAAGAAGCTGCAGAAGGTCTACAGCAACTTCATCGTTATTAACTACGGGGGAGACAATGATGAAAACAATACTCTCACCTTCATCGACGCATACTCTCGCCACGGCTGGGTCGCTAACGTTGACTTCCGCTCCAAGGCCCCAGAAGTCTTGCACATCTGGCTGGCACACGCGCAACGGGAAACGGGGAAGACGCTGAAGATTTGGCAGACAGACGGCGCCAAAGAATTCCGCGGCAACGAACTGCAGGCGTTTCTCACGGAGAAGGGGATAAAGCATCACATCTCACTCCCCTACGCTCACCAACAGCAAGGTGTCGCCGAGCGCGTCAATCTCACCCTCATGACGAAGGTTCGCCCCCTCATGAATTAGTCCTGCCTACCCAAGAAGTTCTGGCCTTACGCCATGAATCACGCCGTGCGGCTTCACAACCTTCTGCCAACTACAGCGAACAGAGGGAATCTCTCACCGCACATGAAGTGGACCGGGACAAGGGGGGACACCTCGATGCTGAGGGTTTGGGGGTGCATGGTGCAGTACAGGCCGACATCTGCCACCGTCGGCAAATTCACTGAACGCGCGCTGGGGAGTTCACTTGGGCCTCAGCTATGAGTACAAGGGCTGGTTGATTCTGGACATTGACAATAACAAGATTGTACCCGCGCGAGATATTATTTTCTACGAACGACTCACCCTGCAGCAATGGACCGAGGACCAGCGCGGCAACATCTCCCAAGCTTACGCCAACAACGGGCGAAGCTTCACATCACCTGAAGATGAGGCAGCTGCAACTCACCTTGACCACGATCCTGCCGACGAACATCCCGACGTACCTCCTCGCCTGCGCGACGACGACGATGATGATGATGACGCTCCCGCACAAGGACCATCACGATGCCACGACACTCGAAACAGCCCGCCGCCAGCACACGAGAGCGACGACGACGTCGTGGTTGAGGTAATCACCCAGGAAGCCGAAGGCACAGCTCATGTCACAGGCCTTCAACTACTCGGCCTGCACACCGCTACCACTACCCCTCCACGCATCAACGAGCCCAAGAATCCACGAGAGGCCCTCACGGGCCCATACGCCAAGGAGTGACGAGCGGCGATGGATGCGGAACTGAAAGCACTGGAGTCACGTGACACATGGGTCCTCGTCGATCGTGCAGCAGTGAAGGGGAGGAGGGTGCTAACCGAAAAATGGGGTTTTCGCCTCAAGATCGCTGCTGACGGATCTATCACGCTTCAAAGCACGATGGGTCGTATGTGGCTACGACCAGCGCCATGGCATTGACTTCAACCAAACTTTCGCCCTCGTAAGCCGCCATACCTCTGTCCGAATTCTA